CACACTTAGCAATATTTCAGCTGTATGACGGCGGTCTGTAAATAATCGAGTCTGGACCAGACAATCCAGTGATTGACATCATGTGCATCGATCCACGCAATTGGGATACGATGACATGCATCAACCAAGTCAGCGAGCCTGACCACCCGATCCCGGTAGTCGCTTCTTACGACAAGCGCTGTCGCCCTTTTACGCCAAGAATGGTTTGTTGAAGATCTTCACGGGTCTATTGAATGCAGGGATTTGTGTAAAGTCATTCAGGCAGCATACAATGCCAACTAAAAAATTATACTCAGTGTCTCCGCAAAGTAATATAGTACGGTACTTAGAGTACATGTGAGATTATACTCAGATTAGGGAGATGTTTAATCCATATAACGTGTTATTATTCTACCTAACAATGTATTTAATGAAATGAATGCAAAACAAACTCAAAAGGTTTCATTGAAAAAACTACCCCTAGTCTTGACTTATAAAACAACTGCAACCCGACACAGATTAAACGCAACTTACAAACACAATCATAATCTGGTTAGTCTGTATCACTCAACGAGGCCGCTTACTCTGCCCACAGTATGACAGTATTGGGCAGTTCAGTAATTAGGAGCCAAATCCAGGCAGGTACGCTGGTCACACTTGACTGGTCTGACTGATGATTAGGTCGTCTGACAATTGGGAGTGAACCATAGCAAGAAGTATCTGCGAAACTATTTGCTCCTTTTATGGGACCGATTAGTTTTATTACCATGGGCCTCGGCACAAGCGTGGTGTTGGAAGACAAGTTATACATGTACATCCGATATGGTGACTGTTTTTCGCTATTCATATTCTAAATACATTCATAATACCACAACATTTTAGTACTCCTTGAAACTTTACAATCACTTCAATATGTACAATAGATTGAACAAGAACACTAGATATATTGCAGATTATTAAATCATAGTCTCTATTATCAGCCGCTACGTTTGTATCGTTTGCATTGTACAAAGAAATATTTTATCTGTCCTTTTGCAGATTTAGCCTCAGAATGTGCTCATTCGAATTAGGAACGAAAATAGTTGCTTATCATGAGTATATATGATACAGTTAAAAGTTACTTGTACACTGTAGACATATTCACTTTAAAGTCGCATACGACCTTCGCGAGCGAGTTGAATGATCCAGGTTAATTGGAACGAAGTCTAGAAAGGGTTATAAAGTTTTGTATTTGGTAATGTGTAGGTTTGTTAAATATATTTTTTTAAATTCCTTTTATTTCAATATGTAAAAACATAACTATGCGCTTAAAAACAGAGCTGACTTGATGGGAGATAGCCACCTCAGATTGTCTGTTGGACACGGTTTAACCTTACTGTGTCCTCACCCTGGTTGTTGTTACCGTTGTTATAAGGGATTAAGAGCTACGGCTCATTGCATTTTTGGTTACAGTCTGTATCACTAAAGTGGACATGTGCAGGTGAACTCTGTTCAATTAGTATATGAAATGCCCCAAAATGTGAACTCCAGACAATAATAACCTGAGGGTAAGTCCACGTGCGTCTGCCTTTCCCCTCGTTCACCTTCGAAATCCTTGATTATTATATCATGCCAGAGTTCTGAAATTCAGTGACAATGTTGCTGAACAGTAGAATCTGATGGACGTTTTGTGCAGAACCTGTTTGACACTATGGGTTCCAGGACCACTAACACTCTGAGCTGAAAAAGTTTGGTCCTAACCGCACCCAACATCTACAAGTTTGTAAGCTTGTAGACATCATTAAGAAGTAATTAACAGTCCCATGCTGAGACCTTTCTCAAAATTCAGACCGGTGGCAGGCTGCCAACAAAGAGAAGAAAATATCGCAACCCCGACACGAGTGTGCTCAGTCAAACAATGAACTTACGACCGGCAGAAAACAACTCCAGTTGAGTATGCCGATGCTGTATCTCAGCCGTGTTGGCCTGAAAATTTAAACATGCTAATTAAATCCAAAATCGTATAAATATTTTTAATAGAAACCGTATCTTAATTTGTTCTTGCACTGCATCATATCGTGTATTTCATCTGTATATGTGTAATGTGTATATGTATCCATGACTACACTTATACCGCATATTCTGCAACAGACTATAATTAATAACCTTATTAGTGTCTCTCCATTTACCATGGCTGACTGCACTAATACCCTTTTAACAGTGGACACCGATATCAGTATACATGTAGGCTTTTTGTTCAAAAAGGAATATGCAGGAAAGTATATGTAACAATTAACTGTGTACTAATTACATGTTTGAATGTTATCAGTTTTACGTTCTGAGATACAGTGATGTAAGCATCTTCTAAAATCTTCTAAAAATATAATAAAATACAAAACTCTCTGCCGTAATTTTTTGTGGAAATCATTCGATCAAGTAAAAATGACTGCGTGACAAGACGAATCAACTATTTATACCCGATAAAAGAAACTGCCGTATTTTAGGAACAGTGCTATAACAAGACATTTGAAATTTCTAACAAGCAGATACATTAGATACAGTGACTAGACTACAGGTACGTAATCCGTATCAATCAAAGGTGTAAAAAAACTGAAAATCATATCTGTCGGAGACCTACCAAATTACCAAGTTTTATCATTACTATATTTATTACAATGCAAATACTTTAGTGATACATTTTTTAGAGGAGAGGGCATACACACAAGTATATTGCTTCCGTGTGTGAATGCAGGTTGTACTTGGTATCTAAGTTCTCAGTTTCATACCGGTTGTATAACTGAATTTCTATATGGAACCATGCGTACAGCATGACAATTACTTGCCATTCGTCAGTTTACAACACACATAACACGGTCAAAGAATTTTAGGCACCGCTTTTGCGAGTTATTTAGTACAATAATGTTTTATTAAAATCTATTTCAATTAGTAATTAGTACGGATTGACCTTGTTTATTGTTTCTATACTTTGAGGATTTCTGTGGCAAGTGGCGGACGTAATTAAAACTCCTTCCGCACTGACACCGCATCAAATATATTTGTGTACCGATTAAATAACTCTAATGGACAGGGTGGGGTGGTAGTTCACCGGACGACACTGTGTATATTGGGCGGCTCCTTTGATATCTCCTCCAAACATACGTTTATTGAATGACCCCATTAAACGATGATACACATCTCGATGAATATATCAAGGCACTAATTCATCTTTCATAAACATTTTTTTTGTCTTTGTGCTTAATATATCCACATATCAACGAACGTTTGTAAAACATGTATCCTAAAAAAAATAAACATTTTCAGGCTAGGTATTTGCCCACAGCAACACCTGCATAACTGTTTATTCACACGTGGTGTGGTAGATCGTAATTGACCGAGAGCAGGTATTGTAGAATCACCTGTAAATAAGGCCGACACTGTAATTAGATACAACGTACTAATGAGAATTATCATAAGAAGGCTGTTGTTTTTTCTGAACTGTTACCATTTTCATACCAAAAGTGACAATGCAGTTAAAAGTTGCTTTAGTGTCACAATATTCACTCACGTTTTCCTCAATCGCATTGAAACATAATTCCTACTGGTCAGTTCGAAACCGCATGTAATTAAATAATTATTTCGAGATTTCGTTAGAATGTAAGATATTCAGCCAAACGTTATGCAATAAAAGACGCATAGTTTTTTTCATTAAAATACGCGCACGCGTACCTGTATATTGCATACCTAGTGTCACGTAATTGCCCAGTGTGATGTATCAACGGGACATAAAATGGGAAATGAAATAGAAACTAACTAAAATTTAATGTTGTGGAAAATAACTCCAATGAATTTGAGTACACGCACATGAATTCGTATGATAAACTGTCAAAACGTTTTGAGAGGTAAGGCCGGGTTCATTAAAGATCGCTACAATATGTAAAACAGGTGAAATTTGTAGAACTAAAGGAAACATCCAACCAAAAGCCCTTTTTAAATAGTAATGTAATGATATAATATAAAGTATATTTCACATGATACAATATACTTTGCAAACAGTTAGTTGATGCTTGAAAGGGACTGACGAAAACATGGGCGAAATATTTTAATAACGCCGTAAAATAGTTGAATTAAGTAAAAATTAGTTAAATTTTGTGTCATGATACTTGAATAAATACATTTAATGTATTTGCGAAAGAAAAACATGAGTTTTGAGTAAAGAAACATGTTCTCGCCCATGGGCCTGCCCATGGGCCAAACCTTTTTCTCGCCCATGGGCGAAATATTTCAATATCGCTATAAAATCGTTGAATTAAGTTAAAATGAGTTTAATTTTGTGTCATGATACTTGAATGAATACATTAAATGTATTTGCGAAACAAAAACATGAGTTTTAAGTAAAGGAACATATTCTCGCCCATGGGCCTGCCCATGGGCCTACCCATGGGCCAAACCTTTTTCTCGCCCATGGGCGAAATATTTCAATATCGCTATAAAATCGTTGAATTAAGTTAAAATGAGTTTAATTTTGTGTCATGATACTTGAATGAATACATTAAATGTATTTGCGAAACAAAAACATGAGTTTTAAGTAAAGGAACATATTCTCGCCCATGGGCCTACCCATGGGCCAAACCTTTTTCTCGCCCATGGGCGAAATATTTCAATATCGCTATAAAATCGTTGAATTAAGTTAAAATGAGTTAAATTTTGTGTCATGATACTTCAATAAATACATTTAATGTATTTGCGAAACAAAATCATGAGTTTTAAGTAAAGGAACATGTTCTCGCCCATGGGCCTGCCCATGGGCCTACCCATGGGCCAGACTTCGCCCATGGGCAGGCCCATGGGCGACATAGTCTAAATATTGAGTTTTTAAACAATTTTTTTTTCATTTTTTCTTCCTTGGTATGTTCCCATAACAACGGCATGTTTAATTTTGTAAATACCTTTAACCGAGACTAGGGAAAGAGCGTAGAGTTTCTGGACTTTTGGGTTTCCAGAATTAAAATGGGACGTGTTTTGTTCTTAATCATGCTCCCCATATGCAAGCAATTGTCTTAAAGCTTCCGCAGTATCTGCAGACCAAGTGGAGGGATCGAGTAACCCAAGCAAGGATTCGAAACCACGTCATTGGTTTTCCAGACCTGGTCGTCTTTATAGACTTTGCAGCCAAGTCGGCGAACGAACCAACGTTCAGTAAGCAAGCTTTGACCAACTTACAAGATGCATCATATTACAAGGGGACCCACAACAAGGCCAAGCAGATGTCTCACATGAATCAGTCAACCAGTTTAGCAACTCAAGTTGGAAACGACACTTCACAATGTAAACGAATTTCTTCAACTTGTTATTTCTGCAAACAACCTCATGATCTTGATGACTGTAGATCCTTTGCACAAAAGTCTCTCAGCGTAAAGCGTGACTTCTTAAAGGAAAGTAACCGATGTTTCAGTTGCTATGGCCTCAATCACTCCGCCAAAGGTTGTCTAAAAAGACGCACTTGCAAAACCTGTAGTAGACGTCATCCTACCGCTATGCACGATAACAACTTCCAGCCACTGAAAAGGCCAAACGAAGTAGTGTCTGAAAGTAGTAACAAGCAATGTAGTAATGATACTCCTGTCAAACAGGTTCATGATGCTGCAAGTTGTAACGCTTCAAAGTCCAACAACTGTATCGAAACTGTTCTTCAGCCTATTCTTCCCGTAAACGTGAAACAGAAGGGAAGTAATCGGGTTATCACTACATATGCCATGTTGGATAACGGTAGTACAGGCTGCTTTATCACGGAAGATCTACGAGATCGACTTGGTGCCAAGTGTTCGCCTACTGTATTAAAGCTTCAGACAATGAATAGTGTAGATTTTGTCAAGACATCTGCTGTAGATGACCTTGTGGTTTCGGATCTTGACGACATGCAGCAAGTAGATTTGCCACGTACATTTTCCAAAGATGTTATGCCCGCAGATCATGATCACTTTCCAAAGCCTGAACTACTGAAACAATTTTCTCATCTTAAAACTGTTTCTGACAAATTACCAGTACACATGCCTAATCTTGACATTGGTTTACTGATAGGCAGTAACTGTTCACTTGCGTTACAGCCATTAGAAGTGGTTCCACCCCTAGGCGAAGGACCCTTTGCAGTTCTTTATAGGCATGGTTGGACAATGAATGGTCCAATACAGCTCAAACTCAATCTTTCCAAAAACACTTTAGTATGTAATAGAATTGTTCAAAAAGTCAAAAGAATGCATTGCTCCTGAAACAGTTTTGAAATTGTTTGAGTTAGACTTCAATGAGCCAGATCTTGGATCGACTCCAAACGAACGAGGCTATTCTGTTGAAGATCGTCCTTTTATGAAAGAAACTGAACAAAATCTCAAATTCGTTGATGGCCATTTTGAAATTCCTCTTCCATTTACAGATGAATCTCCAGTTCCATGTAACAGGGAACAAGCTTTTAAACGCGTCCTTTGGCAAAAGCGAAAGATGCTAAAAGATGATAGGTACCATAAAGATTATGTCAAATTTATGGACACTATATTAACTAAAGGATATGCTTGTGAGGTCCCTGAAGATGAACTGCACCGACAAGAAGGTGAAACTTGGTATTTACCGCATCATGGTGTCCATCACCCAAAAAGGCCAAATAAGATTCGCGTCGTATTTGACTGCAGTGCTAAATTTGATGGTTGTTCACTTAATGATGTTCTGCTACAACTCTTTGATTGGTGTCCTCACAAGATTCCGCTCAGATGATATTGCTTTTAAGGGTGATGTGGAAGCAATGTTTCACCAGGTGAAAGTGCCTAAAGGACAACAAGACTTTCTCCGGTTTCAGTGGTGGCCTAGCGGCGATTTGAACAGTGATTTAAATGAGTACAAAATGACTGTTCACACTTTTGGATCTGTGTCATCTCCCACTATTGCAAACTATGCACTGAAAGCTTCTGCAAGAAATGCAAACTCAAAATATGACGCAAAAGTTATCGAAACCATAGAAAGGAACTTTTATGTAGACGACTGTCTCAAGTCTGTTGAAAACAACCAAGTAGCTGTTGAGCTGATAACCAATTTGCAATCTGCATGCGCAGAAGGGGGATTGAATCTTACCAAATTTACTAGTAACAGCAAAACTGTTTTGGCATCCATTCCCACCGAACATTGTTCTAAGGAAATCCAAACAATTGATTTGAACTATGATGACTTTCCAATGGAACGAGCACTTGGTATGCAGTGGGATATAAAATCAGATAGTTTCAAATTCTCGGTAGATTTGCCGAAGAAATCAATGACAAGGAGAGGAATTTTGTCTACAATGTCTTCCTTGTATGATCCTTTAGGCCTTGTATCACCAGTCTTGCTACCTGTTAAAAAGATCCTTCAAAACTTATGTAAGGACAAGTCCTTAGGCTGGGATGATGAAGTCAGCACTGAGCACAAACGAGGATGGGAACAATGGCTTCAAGAGTTGGAATTGTTAAGAGGCTTAACTGCTTCAAGCCTTCTCCTTTTGGCACAATTATTTCCAGACAATTGCACATCTTTTCTGACGCTAGTACTACCGGGTACGGATGTTCAGCTTACCTTAGACTATGTGATGACCAAGATAACATACACACTGCTCTGTTATTAGGCAAAGCCAGGCTAGCCCCTTTGAAAACTCTGACCATCCCAAGGCTTGAACTGACAGCAGCTACAGCTTCAGTTAAACTTGGTCAGTTTTTTTGCATGAGTTGGACATCAGCATTGATAAAGTCACTTATTACACCGACTCCACAACCGTTCTTCACTATATCAGCAATGAGTGGAACAGATTTCCAGTTTTTGTAACAAACCATGTGAAGATGATCAGAGATTACAGCGAGCCCCAGCAATGGAAGTACATTGATTCAAAAGGTAACCCAGCAGATATTGCTTCTAGAGGCTCAGGTTGTAAGCAGTTTCTCAAGTCAACACTCTGGTTTGATGGACCACAGTTTCTCGGAACTCCTGAAGACAAATGGCCAGTCTCTGATTGCCACGAATATGCTGGAATGGTAAAGTCAGAAGAAGCTGCCAATGCTGAAAGTGAGACAGTAGATACTTTGATCAATCATTATTCTTCATGGTATCGTCTAAAAAGAGCTATTGCAATTTACCGCAGATTCTGTGCTTATCTTCAGGTCAAGAAATCGAAATCCTCAAGTGGTCTGAAGAAGCAATCCACTGCAATGAATGAACCCCTCACCGTCCAAGAGCTTGCATCAGCTGAAAGAAACATTCTTAGATTTGTCCAATTGAACACTTACAAGTCTGAAATAGTATTTCTTGAGAGCACAGCAAAGGAAAGAGGCCGAGCACATGTCAAATTACCAAAGACCAGTTCCATTCAAAAGCTCAATCCTTTTGTCAACGATGGTTTGCTGCAAGTTGGTGGTCGTTTAAGCAAAGCAAATGTGCCTGATCTTGTCAAACATCCAATTATCTTGCCCCGTAAAAGCCACGTAGCTACCTTGATCATTCAACAGATCCATGATAAACTTGGCCATGCAGGTCGTAATCATGTGTTGTCTGCCTTGAAAGAAACATACTGGATTCCAAACGGAAACTCTGCTGTAAGGTCAGTTCTCAACAAATGTGTTGTATGCAGGAGATATAAAATGCCTATAAGTGTACAACTAATGTCAGAACTTCCAGCCAACGGTGTCAACCCAGCGCCTCCTTTCACATTTACAGGTATTGACTTCTTTGGGCCACATGTTGTGAAAGAAGGGCGTAAGTACATCAAACGTTATGGTGCACTTTTTACATGCCTTTTACAACCGTTCATATTGAAACCGCAAATTCTTTGAACACAGATTCCTTCATTAATGCTCTTCAGCGCTTCATTGCTCGTCGAGGTCCAGTTCAAGAAATCCACTGTGACAACGGAACAAACTTCAAAAGCGGCGCCAGGCAACTTCGTCAAGCAATAGATGACTTGGATCAGTCAAAGTTACATTCTCATCTACTTCAGCAAGACATTAGATGGAACTTCAATCCACCCTCGGCAAGTCATATGGGTGGAGTGTGGGAAAGGCTGATCAGATCTGTCTGCACTGTCCTGAATCCTTTACTTCATGAGTTTAGTCAGCAACTGGATGATGAAATGTACAGAACCTTCCTATGTGAGGTAGAAGCAATTTTGAATTCAAGACCTCTCACTCCAGTTTCTAGTGACCCTGACGATCTTGATCCACTCACGCCAAATCACCTTCTCATGATGAAATCAAAAGTCTTTATTCCCCCATCTGGCGAATTTCAGCTAAACGATGTTTTTGCACGTCGACGCTGGAGACGCATTCCACATCTGGCAAATGTCTTCTGGTCACGTTGGAAAAGAGAGTATCTTGTAACACTACAACAACGTCAAAAATGGAACACTCCGAACCGCAATTTCCAATTGAACGATATCATGCTCATAAAAGATGATACACTTCCCCGAAGCACTTGGTCTATGGGTCGTGTGACCGGAACTGAGGCTGATGAAAGCGGATATGTCAGGAGTGTCATATTGAAAACAAAAGACTCTGAACTGTGAAGACCTATTCACAAACTCGTTTTACTCATTCCCTCAAACAGTTGATTAAAATGTATGTTTGACGTCGTGTAAATGACATTGTCATCTTGCATTTTTGTAGGTCTGTTTTTTGCTGTTAAACACACCGTGAGTATGTTTAAGAGGCCGAGTGTGTAGATGCAAGATTTCCTAATGTTTGAAAGTATGAACTGTTAGTGAAATGACATGAAAACAAGTTAAAATTGTTACAATTCATTTAACTTATTATCCATGGTGGTTCAATGATTAAGACACTTTATCATTACACCAATGTTCTAAAGTTCAATTTCCACGTAATATGAATCAATTCTAAGATACATGTATACAATGTTTACATGTTCTCAGTAACTTTCCACTACCTCGTGACCTTAACCTTCATGTGCAATGTCAAAGCTCACAGGTCATGTCGCGACCTCTTCAAAGCTCATGCATTTTGAAGCACATGCTCACCAGTGTGTATTGGACCTCCATGCTGCCAGGTTCTCACCTTACTGCCTGCTATATTTGAACTATGTAAAGACACATGTGAGTACCTTTCCTTTTCATTGTTAGGTTTTATGTTTATTTCTGAACACCCTGAAATTGTATATATGCCAAAATATTAATTTAGTGCAAAATTGTTTAGATATTTCACACAACTGTTACATTATATTTGCAAATGTGTGCTTGGTAATTTTGCATAATTTCAATGTAGTCAATGTATTTATTGCTTCATTTGGATGTAACTTCGAATGTGTTAAATACTAGGAAAATTGGTAAATGTTTCTGAATTTACAGAAAGCTATTGTTTATTGTAGTTTTCTAAACCTCATCAACTTGTCGGCGCTTCAACTGGTCACCAACTTGTCACCAATTGTTCCTAAAGCCATGGCCCTGACTATAAACTGTATTATGTTTAACGTCACAAAATAAACCCTGTTTATGCGAGTGTTAGTTTTGTCGTCTTGCATCCACAACAATATTCTCATAGATTACCTGACTAATGTCTACCTATAGTGGATAAAGGTAATAAAAAAAACAAAGGCTGGCGTTTAGTTGAGCTGGCGGCATTTTAGACTGACCGCCGACTTGTCAAGGGGATTACTGTTATTGGTCAGCGTGTCAATCTGGAATTGACACGCAGCCGGTGACTGTAATGCGAACGGACATCTATTGTCTAAATTATGTCTCGCGGCATGCTTTTACAACCTAAGTGAGTTACTGCCATTTATGTGAGATGTCCGCGGTTTGACTGTAAAGATACATGAGTTAATTTTATAGATTTTGAATATTATTTTTAAATTTTGATATGAATTATTAAGCAAGTTTGCGCACTATAACAATTGTATCAGATCGTTAGTATCCTTGTATCAGTTTGTTAGTATCATTGTATCAGATCGTTAGTGTTATTGTATCAGATCGTTAGTATCCTTGTATCAGATCGTTAGTGTCTTGTATCAGATCATGAGTATCCTTGTATCAGATCGTTAGTATCCTTGTATCAGATCGTTAGTCCTTGTATCAGATCGTTAGTGTCCTTGTATCAGATCGTTAGTATCTTTGTATCAGATCGTTTGTTTCTGTGGGTTTTTTTCAGAGCTAAAACCAGTGAAAAGGTTCTCCCGTCTGTTTCAGAGCTAATACCAGTGGAAAGGTTCTCCCGTCTGTTTCAGAGCTAAAACCAGTGGAAAGGTTCTCCCGTCTGTTTCAGAGCTAAAACCAGTGGAAAGGTTCTCTCGTCTGTTTCAGAGCTAAAACCTATGGACCTTGGGCGACTGTAGTACGGGCTGGGGAAACAAACCGACACACGATCAGTGGAAGAGAAAAAGATTACTTTGTCAAACAAATAATCAAGGTAAGTGTTCACTGTACTGACCCTTGTCGGTTGCTGATCCCATAGATGGCACTGGTTGTGTTCCTTCATTCACTCCGAACGTTCTGTACTTTTTCAGCACCCTTTATTTGACAAAACCAAGCCCAACCATGACATTGCTCTTTTGGAAATCGTGAACCCCGTGTACACAGAAACTGATGACGTCACAGCAGCATGTTTACCGAGCGGAAACCTCTTAGATGATTTCGTGGCCAAGGAATGCTGGGCTATCGGATGGGGCAGAACCCATGGTGATTGTATGATAATTGATGATGATCATGATCATGATGACGATTTGCTTCCTTATCAAAGCACTTCCATTGACAACAACGTGTGCTATATATCCAGATGTGAACGTGGACCCGACTATCTATATTGACAGCTTAGAAAACAACCGGGTTGTATGTGATTCAATAAGACGTCAATACTTCAGACGGGGAAGACATGGTGGCATGTAATTCAATAAGAGGTCAATACTTCAGACGGGGAAGACATGGTGGCATGTAATTCAATAAGACGTCAATACTTCAGACGGGGAAGACATGGTGGCTTGTAATTAAATAAGACGTCAATACTTCAGACGGGGAAGACATGGTGGCTTGTAATTCAATAAGAGGTCAATACTTCAGACGGGGAAGACATGGTGAGGGCTGTTCAATAAGACGTCAATACTTCAGACGGGGAAGACATGGTGGCATGTAATTCAATAAGAGGTCAATACTTCAGACGGGGAAGACATGGTGGCTTGTAATTCAATAAGAGGTCAATACTTCAGACGGGGAAGACATGGTGGCTTGTAATTCAATAAGAGGTCAATACATCAGACGGGGAAGACATGGTGAGGGCTGTTCAATAAGAGGTCAATACTTCCGACGGGGAAGACATGGTGGCATGCTATTCAATAAGAGGTCAATACTTCAGACGGGGGAGACAGGGTGGCATGTAATTCAATAAGAGGTCAATACTTCAGACGGGGAAGACATGGTGGCTTGTAATTCAATAAGACGTCAATACTTGAGACGGGGGAGACAGGGCGGCATTTAATTCAGTAAGACGGTAATACTTCAGACGGGGAAGACAGGGTGGCATGTATATCAATAAGACGTCAATACTTCAGACGGGGAAGACAGGGTGGCATGTATATCAATAAGACGTCAATACTTCAGACTGAGAAGACAGGGTGGCATTTAATTCAATAAGACGGTAATACTTCAGACGGGGAAGACAGGGTGGCTTGTTAATCAATAAGACGTCAATACTTCAGACTGAGAAGACAGGGTGACATGTAAATCAATAAGACGTCAATACTTGAGACTGGGAAATCAGGGTGGTATGTCATTCAATAAGACGTCAATGCTTCACGTAGGGTACAGGGTGGCATTTAATTCAATAAGACGGCAATACTTCAGACGGGGAAGACAGGGTGGTATGTAATTCAATAAGACGTCATTACGTCAGACGGGGAAGACATGGTGGCATGTAAATCAATAAGACCGTTATACTTGAGACGGGGAAGACAGGGTGGCATGTAAATCAATAAGAAGTCAATACTTCAGACGGGGACGACAGGGTGGCATGTAATTCAATAAGACGTCAATACTTCAGACGGGGAAGACAGGGTGGCTGCTAATTCAATAAGACGTCAATACTTCAGACGGGGACGACAGGGTGGCATGTAATTCAATAAGAGGTCAATACTTCAGACGGGGAAGACAGGGTGACATGTAATTCAATAAGACGTCAATACTTCAGACGGGGAAGACAGGGTGACATGTATATCAATAAGACGTCAATACTTGAGACGGGGAAGACAGGGTGACATGTAATTCAATAAGACGTCAATACTTCAGGCGGGGGAGACCGGATGAAGCTACAAGAGGTCAGGGTAGACGTGGCCACAAACACTGCCTGTCATGATTACTATGGAAACAACGTGACGACACGCGATGTCTGTGCCGGACTTGGTTCAAAATCTGCCTGTGGGGTAAGTCGTTAGGGATTGCTCATAACGTGTTGTTACGCCAGCGTCTACACCAATCACCCCTTTTCCTCTGGGTGAAAATTGTAACAGAATTGTTTGGATCGAGATGAACCGCTTAATACGAAGATGAGAGGGGAGGGTGATTTTTCTATATTATGTTTGTTGTTTGTTGTTTGTTGTTTTATATAGTCTAGCTAACTGACACCGTCCACAGACTTCGGGTTTAGATGGCACACAGTCAATAATTGAGTCTCTCCACCCAGTCGCCTCTCACGTCACGTAGGCGAATGTTGGTAACATATTCTAACCCGTTTCCACGGGATCAGGAGATCAGGCGTTTATCAGTTCATTTACGGATTGAAAAACCTTCGGTTGGTGGTCGAAATAAAAACAAAACTAAGATTAGACTCTTCGATTGTTGTGTTCATGTTTGTGCATACAGATCGGATGGGGCAAACATGTTCGCCAGTTTACCTTTTTCACTGAATGTGAAATGAATGGTTCATAGTGTAGTCTCTAGATAACCACACCCGAGTGTCTTTTAATGTTAAATAAGTCGACAAAAGTTTTAACTCCGAGGCTGGCGATACTTGAATATCAAAAGACACTCGGATGAGAGTGTATGTATTCTCCAAAGTAACTCTTCCAAGTTTCAATTTGTAAACAGTAATATCCAGTGTAAAATGTACAGCTTACCTGCTTCCGTGGCATTGAGGTTCGTCATTTGATCAAATATTCGTTATGCTAGGTGAGATTCATCCGTTGATACCATGCCAGCATTATTGTATGGCTTGCCTGAAGTGCGGAGTAGGAGGCTGATAGCGAGCTAAGGCAAGAGATGAAGTAGAACACTCAGTTCTCCTTCTGCTAATGTACATTTTGATAGGTGAGATTCATCCGTTGATACCATGCCAGCAGTATTGTATGGCTTGCCTGAAGTGCGGAGTAGGAGGCTGATAGCGAGCTAAGGCAAGAGATGAAGTAGCACGCTCAGTTCTCCTGCTGCTAATGTACATTTTGATAGGTGAGAATTTTCAGTTGATATTATGACCTAAGGGATTAACTGTAGGTTTTATCATTAAACGGGGGGAACGGGTGCCCCGTAGTCTAAGGCGCTGCAATTCACTGTGCAGAGTTGGACACGACGGAAATCTATGATTGTGGGTTCGAATCCCGGTTCGCCCCGATTATGGTGATTTACGATTTCAGGGAGTAGGATCTCGTGCCACTTTTATTATTAGTCCGGCTACATGACTTTACCCTGTGGAGAATAGATACCCAGGATGACGAGCCAGCATGTTGGCCACAAGGGTGTCCTCTGCCACTTGATGACACGAAGCCTTGATCAGAGAAGGTGTTCTTGAAGAGCGCATTATACATCATACACAACCGGATGACAACTCACTACTTGATTTTCAGGGCGATTCCGGGAGTCCACTCTCCTGTCAGGTCAAAGGTCGATGGTATGTCGTGGGCGTAGTCTCCTGGGGTGATGACGGTTGCCATGGACGCCCGACTGTGTTCACGCGAATCTCTGCCTATCTCGACTGGATAAAATCAGAAACAGGAATTGATATTTCGCATAATGTCATAATTGGGTAATAAACAGTCACTTCGGTCGTATAATTTCATATCCCAGTACCAATTATTTCGCTTATAGTCAGTGTACCATCCATATCTTGTACGTATCATGGATATTCTATTAATGTACCTTCCATGTCTTGTACGTACCATGGATATACTTTCAATGTACATTCCATGTCTTGTACGTATCATGGATACACTTTTAATGTACCTTCCATGTCTTGTACGTACCATGGATACACTTTCAATGTACCTTCCATGTCTTGTACGTACCATGGATATACTTTCAATGTACCTTCCATGTCTTGTACGTATCATGGATACACTTTCAATGTACCTTCCATGTCTTGTACGTATCATGGATACACTTTCAATGTACCTTCCATGTCTTGTACGTATCATGGATACACTTTCAATGTACCTTCCATGTCTTGTACGTATCATGGATACACTTTTAATGTACCTTCCATGTCTTGTACGTACCATGGATACACTTTCAATGTACCTTCCATGTCTTGTACGTACCATGGATATACTTTCAATGTACCTTCCATGTCTTGTACGTATCATGGATACACTTTCAATGTACCTTCCATGTCTTGTACGTATCATGGATACACTTGCAATGTACCTTCCATGTCTTGTACGTACCATGGATACAGTTTCAATGTACCTTCCATGTCTTGTACGTATCATGGATACACTTTCAATGTACCTTCCATGTCTTGTACGTATCATGGATATTCTTTTAATGTACCTTCCATGTCTTGTACGTACCATGGATACAGTTTCAATGTACCTTCCATGTCTTGTACGTATCATGGATACACTTTCAATGTACCTTCCATGTCTTGTACGTATCATGGATACACTTTCAATGTACCTTCCATGTCTTGTACGTACCATGGATACACTTTCAATGTACCTTCCATGTCTTGTACGTACCATGGATACACTTTCAATGTACCTTCCATGTCGTGTACGTACCATGGATTCAGCTTCAATGTACCTTCCATGTCTTGTACGTACCATGGATACACTTTCAATGTACCTTCCATGTCTTGTACGTACCATGGATACACTTTCAATGTACCTTCCATGTTTTGTACGTACCATGGATACACTTTCAATGTACCTTCCATGTCTTGTACGTACCATGGATGCAGTTTCAATGTACCTTCCATGTCTTGTACGTACCATGGATGCAGTTTCAATGTACCATCCATGTCTTGTACGTACCATGGATACACTTTCAATGTACCTTCCATGTCTTGTACGTACCATGGATACACTTTCAATGTACCTTCCACGTCTTGTACGTACCATGGATACACTTTCAATGTACCTTCCATGTCTTGTACGTACCATGGATACACTTTCAATGTACCTTCCATGTCTTGTACGTATCATGGATACATTTTCAATGTACCTTCCATGTCTTGTACGTACCATGGATACACTTTCAATGTACCTTCCATGTGTTGTACGTACCATGGATACACTTTCAATGTACCTTCCATGTCTTGTACGTACCATGGATGCAGTTTCAATGTACCTTCCATGTCTTGTACGTACCATGGATACACTTTCAATGTACCTTCCATGCCTTGTACGTACCATGGATACACTTTCAATATACCTTCCATGTCTTGTACGTACCATGGATACACTTTCAATGTACCTTCCATGTCTTGTACTTAACATGGATACACTTTCAATGTACCTTCCATGTCTTGTACGTATCATGGATACAGTTTCAATGTACCTTCCATGTCTTGTACGTACCATGGATTCAGCTTCAATGTACCTTCCATGTCTTGTACGTACCATGGATACACTTTCAATGTACCTTCCATGTCTTGTACGTACCATGGATACACTTTCAATGTACCTTCCATGTCTTGTACGTACCATGGATACACTTTCAATGTACCGTCCATGTCTTGTACGTACCATGGATACACTTTCAATGTACCTTCCATGTCTTGTACGTACCATGGATACACTTTCAATGTACCTTCCATGTCTTGTACGTATCATGGATACACTTTCAATGCACCTTCCATGTCTTGTACGTACCATGGATGCAGTTTCAATGTACCTTCCATGTCTTGTACGTATCATGGATACACTTGCAATGTACCTTCCATGTCTTGTACGTACCATGGATACACTTTCAATGTACCTTCCATGTCTTGTACGTACCATGGATACACTTTCAATGTACCTTCCATGTCTTGTACGTATCATGGATACAGTTTCAATGTACCTTCCATGTCTTGTACGTACCATGGATACACTTTCAATGTACCTTCCATGTCTTGTACGTACCATGGATACACTTGGAATGTAACTTCCATGTCTTGTACGTACCATGGATACACTTTCAATGTACCTTCCATGTCTTGTACGTACCATGGATGCAGTTCCCGTTTACTCATATCGATAGTCAAGAAAATGAACGTGAAAACTGAGCGAGTGAGCGACATGTTGGCCCCATCTTGTTTCAGTCTCAACTGCCGTGTATGTCCAGATAACTTAGTTTCGTGGAGAACTACATGCTGTAACACTGTACTGGGCTCCTTCCAGAGGGCTCCCCTTTAGACATTGTGACGGTCTCCGGGGTATGCTTGGGGATGTTATCTCAATAATCCCAACACTCAGTTAATTAGATAAATTTGCTTACAGAATATTGGATCTTTCACAAATATGGAACCAACAAGTGTTTAAAGTCAATAAATAATTATATTTATTGGATTAATGTTAAATATATACTCACACGCAAAAAAAACACAAGTGGTTTTAAGCAAATAGGTAACAAGCACGGAACCATAAATTGATACGAGTTTTAGCATGTAGTGAAGCCTGATGGTGTTATCAATATTTTTGGTTGCATTCGGGAAGCCCCGAGTAAAAACGCAACATAAAAAAACGAATAGCCGAAACGCACCATTTCAGTGACTATGTGGGTATCATACACCCATTTCTCGCGAAATCGAAAATGCACGAACGGTCACGAACTGTAGTGGGTATAAAACTGTGGCCGATTCTTGGACCTACCACTCCTTGGTCAACAATGCCACGCCTAACTCAAATTCAGAGAAACCAGGCTATCGGACGTTTGGAAGCTGGAGAGTCTGTCCAAGATGTTGCCCGTCATTTCAACGTTAACATAACCACAATTTACCGTCTCCTGCATCGATACAATGCTACACAGACCACAGGTGACCTTCCTCGGAGCGGTCGTCCTAGGGTCACCACACCTCGACAAGATCGGCAGATTACCCGTCAACACCAGCGACAACCGTTCCTACCTGCAAGTTAAAGTGCTCGACAGACCATAGGAACACATAATCAACACATTAGCCGGGACACTGTGATCCGACGTCTCCGTTCCAACAACCTCAGATGTCGCCGACCAGCACGTCGTCCTGTTCTCCAACCATGGCATCGATCGCGACAAGCACGACTTCAGTGGACACAGGGTCATCGCAATTGGCGTCATCGAGAGTGGAGTCGTGTCATCTTCTCTGATGAAAGTCGCTTTTGTGTCTCCCATGCAGACGTAAGAGTCAGAATTTGGCGGCGTCGAGGTGATCGTTCGCTGACAGAAAAGTTGTGGAAAGGGGTCCATGGGGTGGACCTAGCGTCATTATATGGGCAGGGATTGGACTTAATGCGAGACTAGGCCCCATGTGCTTTCTGAATGTTGGTCAAGGTCGGGTACACGGCGTCACTGCTCAGCGGTATATCGACCAAGTGATCAGACCCCACGTTGTTCCATTTGTTGCACAACATCAACAACACATTTTCAAGCAGGACAACGCTCGTCCCCATGTTGCCAGAGCTACCATGGCCTTTCTGCAACAACGCAACATCCGTGTTCCACCGTTGCCAGCCCTCAGCCCTGATCTGAACCCCATCGAACACTTGTGGGATGAGGTTCAAAGGCGTCTGCACAATGTGCGCCCAGTCTCTACAACTGCCGATGAACTACGCACAGCTGCGCTGGATGTGTGTAGGAGGATCCCTAGGGTCTTCCCAAATCGTCTGATCCACTCAATGTACAGGAGATGTGTGGCAGTGATCAATGCTAATGGTGGTCACACCAGGTATTGGCTGACATTTGGGTATTGACCCGAAACTGTGTAAGCCTTTAACATTTGGAGAATCAATTATGTCATCTGCCTTTTAATCCATTAAACTGTCTTCAGTCAAATGTTTATCAATCTTGCCCTTTTAGTGTTTCTTGTCTTTACTGTTGAAAATAAATAACATGTACACTGCATACCCGACTTGCGTTTCTTTTGCGTGTGAGTATATATATATATATAATGATGGACAATAGTTATGACAATAGAATAAATTAAGACTTGGCCAAACTTAAAAGCTATAAACGTAAAAACCCAAACACAAGTGCCGTAAAATCAACGTCTGGTCGTGATGAAAAACAAATCTTCAACTGTTCGCAACTGTCACTGTTGATCAGTGACGTCATTAATGAACTCATTCTAAACAAAGAAAAAAATAAATAAAGCAAAGCATAAAGCAATTAAAGCTAATTGAACTAAGTCTCTAAATGAATAATTTAAACAAATATTAAGATGATAATAAATTGAGTTGAAGCAACTGAATAATCGAAATGCGAGATACGAAACTAAAAGTCAACTCAGGCAGTGACGTAAAATGGCGGCTTGCTCCAAACCGGAACACAGCAAAGACGACACATTCTTCAGTAAACTAAACGGTTAATAAAGGTAAGAACTGAGCGATAAGTGAGGTAAATACAAAAGGAAAATGTACTTATTAATCAACTGCAATGTTAATGAACTGTTAAATCATAATGACGAATTCATACACAGAACGAAATCTGAAGGACATTCCAAACGATAAATATTTATGATTACATATTAATGTCTATACATTGAAATAAATAATAGTTATGAAACATTTTACACATGATGATATAATACAATAGCATAGTAAACATGAATGTTATGTTCGTGCAATTAATAACAATAATATGAATTTACAATATTTACAATTTAT